ATGGTAAACTAGATGTGCGTTTTTTTGAGTAAGTTTTAGGTCAGCCCTAGAAAAATGTTTTGGAATTAAAGCAAAACATTTGAATGGGGAGAAAAAATAGATCTAATATTGTAGCATCAAATTCTCACTTGTGGGTGGAACACACCTCCTGAATTCTATCTTTTTATTAAAAACAACGTTCATCATTTTTGTGTCTGACCTTTGAAGAGTAAATGTTTGCCATAATGTGACCGACTAAAATGACAAAATTACTAGAAAGCAGATGTGGGATAAAAAAATAATGAAAATAAAACCTATTTGATTTTTAACAAATGTTTTTTTTTTTTGTACAGTCTTAAGACGAAGAAAAAAATGAAATGGTCTTGAAAAGATGATCATTTAAAGAGAGAGTGCAGATGTGGTCTTGTATGTAAAGAATTGTCATGTTGCTTTATTTTAAACTTTTCAACATGGCCTTGTGTGTGTGTGTGTATGTATGTATATATATATATATATATATATGAAGAAATATAGTCTTAAAGTGTGCTATATTTATAGGATAAAGTGCTCAATATCAGAGATAGAGTGTGTGTAAATATAAAAGTGAACACTGAAGTCAACACTTAGAGGCAACAGTCTGTTTCATGCTAGACGCAATTGTCAGGCCTGATGATTGCATCTAGCATGAAACAGACTGTCGCCTCTAAGTGCTGACTTCAATGTTCACTTTTATATTTATTTATATATATATATATATATAAATAAAGAATTGTGTATTTAGAAAACAATCCCACTTTTATACAAGTTTCATTAAAGACAACTGACAAGGTACAGCAATTAAGCATTTTATTCAATTTTTCTTGTGTTCATATAGATATATATATATCTTTTCTGGACATGAAGTATGTGAAAACTGTGAATTTTCGGAGTACTTTTGACTATTCTATTAGCTATTATCAAGGATGTTTTTTTTTCATTGAATATGTAAATTTTTTGTAGGTATTTGGAGTGATGGGAATATTTTTAGAATAAAATAGATAAATAATAGACATTTTTTACACACTTTTTACGCCCCCCCCCAATAATTACAGTACCTTGTCAGTTGTTTTTAATGAAACCATATATATATATATATATATATATATATATATATATATATATATATATATATTTATTTTAAAAAGTAGACAAAAAGTATGATGATTCATTATTTAAGCGTATAAACAAATACACAAACAAATTTCTTTGTTTTAGGATGTGATGAAGTCTAGAATGGCGAAACACATAATCAAATCTATTTTCAATGAAACATTTACATTTGTCAAATTTTTGAAACTGTTGCAATTTCTGTATCCAATTTTAAAAACATTATACGTATATATATATATATATGTGTGTGTGTGTGTGTGGCCAAGTGGTTAGAATGTTCAAGCAAGGCCTCTGATCAGGAGGTTTTGAGGAGCATGGAACCACCTCTTAATTGCTGGTGTTCCCAGGTCCACCCTGACTCAGGGTGGTAGCACCTGTTAGGGTCCCAGATATGTGCAAATAGTTAACCCTGAAACTGAGGTAAAAAGCATTATAAAAGTGTAAAAATAGGTTTTAATACAAGAAATATTTTGTAAAAATGATTACCAGCAATATATTTTTGAAAAAAAAAAAAAATTACTGGCTATACGTTTTTGAGGAAAAAATATTACCAGAAATAGATTTTTGACAAAACAAAATATTACTAGTTAAAAAAAAGTGGTTGGCATTAAATAACCCATTGCGGTTGATATACTGTAAAACAAACCAAACCAAAGTATCGCTATGAATCTATTTCAAAAATTTTGTTGGCATTAAATAACCTACTAAGGTTGATATGCTATAAAGCAAAGCAACCAACCAAATTATCAAGAGAAGATATCCTCAAAGTTTAATAAACAACAGCATTGAAAAAGCAAAATAAATTAACATCCAAACACTCCCAGAAACAAAAAGATAAAATGAAAAAAAGGATCATCCCTTATTATCTCAACTTTCAATCCAAAGAACCCAGAAATCTACACATGCATACAACTAAATCTACTAATCTGACTACAGGACAAAAAAAAATGAAAAAAACAATTACAAAAATACACAGTCATAAAAATTATTTACTTTTTACTACTAAAATCACTAAAAAACATACTGATGAGTGCAGAACTGCAGAACTCAATTAAAGAGCATCAGGTGAAAAGATGCAACTGACCCTTTTGTGGAGTACGTAGCTATTTATCAGAAGGCCACGAATTTCACTTCAAAGATGATCCTAATTAAAAATGATTTCTTGTGCAACTCAGAGAATTTAATATACATAATAACATGCAAAGGTTGCCACAGATATTACATTGGCAAAGCCGGCCAGACACTCCAACAAAGGATGACAGTTCATCACATACAAATGAGGGATCCCCACACCAGAAAAATACCCCTTAGCCAACATATAAAGGAATGTGGAGGATGAAACCTGACAAATTTTAATATCTTCCCATTCTACCAATGTGACTACAAAACCACTGAATAAAAGTGTATTAATAAAGAAACTTTCTTAATCAACAAGTTTAAACCAAAACTCAATTCACTGTATAAACCTTTTACTCAACGTTACTCAAAATATGAAAATATAAACAGTTACAAACTTTTTGAAAAGCTAAAAGCAAAACTGGTTAAAGTAAAAAAAAGTAAAACAATTTTTTCTTAAAACCCACTAGTAAGTAACACAATTTTAACTTTAATATTTCTCTGTAAAAATACATTTGTTATAAATATTACATATAAATAAATATAAATATTAGGTGTTTTTTCCAAATCTTATTTTCTTTATACAAGTTTTTGTATAGATTTTCTAACAATTCCAATTTTTTACCTATATATATATATATATATATATATATATATATATATATGCATGTGTGTGTATGTATATACTGTTCATACATTTTTACAATAACATGCTAAAAAGTTTCTACTCTGACCAAGAAGAGATATTTCTGATGCTTAGTCATTTCGTTAGACTTTTGGAAGTGAGTCGGGACAAGAATTTTTAAGTTCGACTTCTCTGTTATTTTTCTTTTTCTTTCTTTGCGCAAATTCTGATGAAGTAATAAAGAAAATTTTGTCATAGAAAACTGACATTAATTTTCAAATTACATTGTTCATTTCATATTTCAAAATGTTTCTTCTTTTTTAAAAATACTATGTCTGCATGAATTTTTTTTTTTTTATTTTAGATTCAAGATAATTTAATCTCTGTTAATCTCCAAAAATGCCTGTAGACACAAATACTTTTACACAGTGCTTTTCATTGCTATATTTGAAAAGATGGTTTTGGGTGGGGTGACCAAGAAGCCTTTCGATAAAAAATAAAAAAGTAAGATTTTTAGATGTGGGTTAAACTAAGAACTTTTCAGCACACCTCATCGTAAAAGCTGAAATGTTTGCTTAGCAAAAATAAATAAATAAATAATAAAATCAAACCTCATCTTTGCATATCAGAGATGTTACTACTTTTGGTTATTTTCTGAAAACTTTTCAGCACCCCTCATATCAAAGGCTTAATGTTGGCTTATCAAAAAAAAACAGTAAAAAAATAAAAATATGATAAAATAAACCTAATAGTATATCAGAAATATTGATATTTTTTATTATTTTATTAGAAAAAGAATATTCTTCAATATTTACATTCAAATTATTGTCCTCATCTTTGTTGTTGTTATCACAATGTTTTGTCCATTCATAATGGTATTTATTTTAATAAAGAAAATTATTTTTCCATCTAATAAAGGAATGAACTGGTTTTCCGGATCTACCTCAGAGAATGGGATAAAAACCACAAAGCTAAAAGAGGTTCATATTTTGAAATCCTGTCCTAAGCCATTAGGACTGGAAATCCTTCTGCTGTTGGCATATACAGAAAAAGCTGCATTTTGATTGGTCAGCACTATTCCTTTCAACACTGACTCCTCACTCTATTTTCCCACCATTTTGTTTTATCTTATCCAGAACTGTATTTAATAGTTTCAGTTTGTTATTATAATGAGGAAGTCATGGAATGATAAGATGTGGGGCCTGTTGTGTGCTTGATATTTCCGTGAGTCAGGGCATGTAGACTTAAATGGGTGAAAATAACAAATCTGATGATGATGATGATGATGATGATGATGATAATGGTTTTAGTAGAATTGATGGTAGCATTGACAGAAGGGCAGGAAATGGAAGATTTCCTCATGAAGGAAAAAATAACTAATAGCAAAAAAACAAATTGTTTCACACTGAAGGTGAAAGTTCTTGTTCGATGAGATGACATTTAAAGCTGTTTTTTCTTTTTGTTTTCTTTCCCTTTCTTTCTTTCTTTCTTTCTTATATTTTTTCCTTTGTAATTTTCATTGACTTCACTCTCAATTTTCTCTTTTTATTTTATCTCTTACTCATCTTTCTGATGCTATTCTTGATTAATAAAACTTTTATTTTTTTATCATGATTCCTTTACTTTCATTTCCCCCCCCCTTTTCTTCTTCCTTTATTAATTCTTACTTTCTCTCTTTTTTTATATATATATATATAGTTCCAGTTCTCTCTTCTATTATCCTTCTTTCTCCTCTTTTTATTTCATCTTTTTCATTCACTCCCCCCCCATGTCTTTTTTGCATAATTCCAATTCCCTCTTCCATTTTCCTTCTTTCATTACTTCTTTATCCCGTTTCTTTTTCCTTCATATTTTATCCGTTTATTTTTCATTAACCATATTTGGTTCTTTTACCTTCATTTTTTTTTTTTTCTTCTTCCTTTATTAATTTTTCATTCACTCCCCCCATGTCTTTTTTTTTAAGCATAATTCCAATTCCTCTTCCATTTTCCTTCTTTCATTACTTCTTTTATCCCGTTTTTTTTCCTTCATATTTTATCCGTTTATTTTTCATTAACTATATTTGGTTCTTTTACCATCATTTTTTTCCCTTTTCTTCTTCCTTTATTAATTTTTCATTCACTCCCCCCCCATGTCTTTTTTGCATAATTCCAATTCCCTCTTCCATTTTCCTTCTTTCATTACTTCTTTATCCCGTTTCTTTTTCCTTCATATTTTATCCGTTTATTTTTCATTAACCATATTTGTTTCTTTTACCTTCATTTTTTTTCCTCTTTTCTTCTTTTATAAATTCTTACTTTCTTCATTCTCACTCACTCTTTACAAAGTTCCAATTCTCTCTCTTCCATTTTTCCTTCTTTCTCTTCCTTTTATTTCATCTTTTCAGTTTTCATCTTCACTTCTTTACTTTTTCTTCCTCCTTTATTGATTCTTATTTTTTTCCTTCTCCATCTCATTTACATAGTTGCTATTTTCTCTTCCATTTTCCTTTTTTATCTTTCTTTTTTTCTTTATTTCTTTCATTATTTTTCTTGATCAATAAAATATTTATTCTTTCTTTTACCATAATTTTTTTTCCTTCTTATTTTTTTCATTTTATAATTTTTCATTTAAAATTCCTACCTTCTTCATCTCCTTTTCTTTTTACATAATTCCAATTTTCCTTCTTTTCTCTTTTATTCTTTCTTTATTCCTTTCTTTTTAACACAGCTCACATTCTCTATCTCATATTTTCTTCTTTGTTTCCCACATTCATTGTTCTTTCTTCATTCTGATTTCTTTCTTTCCATATTCTTCACTTTTCAATTTCCTTTCTTTTAACTTTTTCATGCCATTAAGTTAAAGTTCCTCTCAATAGTCCCTTCTTATTTTTCTTCCAATACGATACTGGATTTCATTTCATGTTTTTCTGTTTATCTTTTTTCTTTCTAATATTCCATTTTTGATTTCCTTATATTTCTGTAACTATTCCTTCAACATTCTTCTATTTTCATTTTTAATCCTTCCAACTTTCTTTCATTTTTTTCTTATTCAATTATAATAGATATTTTTCTTTATTATCATTTGTATCGCTTTTTATATAATGCTTCTTAATTCTTCATTTATTATTTTTCTCTTCCATTTTTTTTACTTAGTCATTCTTTCCTTTTCATTCATTCTTTCATTATTTTTCTCACTTTCATTTTTTTTTACACTTTTTTTACTCAATCCTTCTTAATTCTTCATTTCTTCTTTTATTTTTCCCTTCCATTTTTTTTACTCAATCCTTCTTAATTCTTCATTTCTTCTTTTATTTTTCCCTTCCATTTTTTTTACTCAATCCTTCTTAATTCTTCATTTCTTCTTTTATTTTTCCCTTTCATTTTTTTTACTCAATCCTTCTTAATTCTTCATTTCTTCTTTTATTTTTTTTCATTTTTTTTTCCCTTCTTAATTTTTTTTACTATTTTCCCTTTCATTTTTTTTACCCTTAATTCTTCTTCATTTCTTCTTTTATTTTTCCCTTCCATTTTTTTTACTCAGACCTTTCTTCTGCATTATTTCTTTCATGATTTTTCTCTTACCACTTTCATTTTTCTTATTCAGTACTTCCTTTTAATTTCTTATTCATTCTTTAATTTTTTTCTCTTTCATTTTTTCATTGATTGTACTCAGTCCTTTTTTCCTTCTTCATTTTTTTTCTTTCATTTTTTCATACCCAGTCTTTCTTTCATGTTCATTTTTTTCTTTCATTATTTTTTCTCTTTCCTCAATTTTTTTCTTTTTTCTTAGGGAATCCTTCTTTATTCTTCTTTCTTCATCTTTGTTTTTTTCTTTCCCTTTTTTCTTACTCAATACTTCTTTTAAGTTTATTTTTTCTTTCTGCTTTTATTTTCTTCCATTTTTTCATACATACATATTGTTCTTTATTTTCTTCTTTCATTTTCTCATTCTTCTTATTTTTCTTTCTTTACTTTCATTTTTTTTTAATTTTTCATACACAATCCATTCTTCTATATTTTTTCATTCATTGTTTTCTCTTTTCCTTTCATTTCTTTCCATTTTCTTACATAATCATTTTTAATTCTTCCTTTTTTTCTTTTTACAATTTTTCTTTTTCCTCTTTCATTTTTTCTCTTTTTCTTATTGAATCCTTCTTTCCATCTTTTCCTTCATTATTTTTCACTATTACTTTTTATTCCAGTTCTTTCCACACTTTTCTTTATTTCTTAATCTTCTCTCTTTTCATTACATTTCTTCCTTAAACCCTTGCCGCTTAAATTCTTCCTTTTCTCTCATCCTCACAATTTCTCTCTTCAATTTCTTCTTCTTCCTTTGCCTGCATTTCTTCCTCTCTCACTTTTGAACCATTCTTCTTTCATTTTCTTGCACTTATTGATTTTCACTGATATCTTTCGTTTTGGCACACAACTGTCTAAACTATAAAGATCAATTTCTTTCTGACCCCTAAAGGCAATATGAACCTTTTCCTCCTTTTGGAAACCTGCAACCTGTTGGATATTAAGAATAAATTTATACAGAAACACAATACACGCTGAGTATCATAGAAAGGGCAACAATGTAAAACTAAAATAAGAAGAAAAATAACCATAAAATCCAAACCTTTAAGATAATATATATATATATATATATATATATATATATATATATATATATATCTATATCTGTGTGTGTGTGCAAATACTTCTATATGAGTAAAGTTGGATGACAATCTGAGAGAATGGTAAATATCTAAGAAAATTTTGAAAGCTTTTTTTATAATGAGAAACATGTCAAAGGAGAAATTCTCCAAATTGTCATATATATATATATAAGATAATTTGGAGAATTTCTCTGTGTGTGTGTTTATGTATATGTGTTTCTGAAAAGTAAAAAATATTGAGAGCCAGGAATATTTCACCCCTCCATTTAAACACATATGGAGACTGCCCAACCTGTGTCCCCAAAATACTTGTGGAAAACACAACCATAATAGCCTTATCCATATGTAAAAAAATGGTTAAAAATAATGAAAGCATTAATAATATAAAAGAAGAAGCCAACTCTCAATAATATCAACTATAAACATAGCCACAACATGCTGGTCAAGTTTGGAAATTGTTGTAGCATACCTACAAACAATAATGGGTATGTCCCCATTCACATAATTATAGTAGTAAATACTGTATGTTGGTCTGCATTTGGAGATTCATTGTGGAATTCACTTGACTACTTCTACATGCCACTGGTGAATCTTATATGTGTTGTTGTATGCTAAGTATTATCGTTCATTACCAACCTTTGTTTGATTATTCTATTCAGTAACATTCTCTAGGTTACAACAGAAATAAGATAGAAAATTCTTGTCCTGATAGATACATATCTAAAAAATCTATATATTCAGTAAAAAAACAAAACATCCTTGATAATAGCTAATAGATTAGCCACAAGCATTCCGATCTATAGAAAATTTGGACAGATCTTTAAAACTGAACACTTTTAACCATAAATATAGCATACCATAAAACTATATATATATATAGTTGTGTGTGTGTGTGTAATTTATCTGGAATTAATGGATTTTATTTCTAACCTGATATTATTTCTTATTACTTTAAATATAATATTTAGCAGATGCATGTAGACAGTCTTGTTTTTAAATTTACATCTAGCAGCCTGTGCATTCAAGGGATGTAATAAAGAAAGTGTGCCATCTAGCAGGGTTCAAACTCACATCTCTGCTGTAGGAAAACTATCATTAAGCCTGGTGGGCTTTTGGACTGCACAGCCATGGAGGACTTTCACAACCAATCAAGGTTCAATTACCCTTTTTAAGAAATGAACAAGAGAGTAAAGAGGCCTATATGTTCTTCTTTTATGTGTCATGTCTCTTCAGGATGTGGGCTATCATGGCTCTCCACAACTTCCTGTGTTTTCTGGTTTTTCTTACTACAACAAAGCTTATAAACATGACAAGTTTAAGATGAGTCCAAAAATTAAGCCTAATTTAAACATGAAGTGATGCTCAGATGTTTTTTTTTTTATGAGCATGTAATTCATAGTTCACATTAATCATTTTACAATTGAAATGGATAGATGCAACCAAACGTTCTATGCTAACATTTCCTTCTGCATTTCTCACTTAAGGAACTCTGTTCTGGCTTCTTGTCTTTCTAGCCAACTTTGAACTTCAAAAATTAAATGCAATGTCATTCATTATCTTCTGTCATCTTAATTTCTGTTTTCTCATTGTCCTCTCTCTTTAATGTTTTTTTTTTTTTGTATTCTTTCACATTTGGTCCTTGTGTCTTAGAGGCTTTATTGCCTTGCATGGGGTAAAATGATTTAAAAAAAAAAAAAAAAATGAAACTTGACAAGGTTCATATTAGTCCAAAAATTAATCATATTTTAAGCATGAACTGAAACTATGATTTTTTTAGGGTAACTCTCTTAAAGATGAATGAAGCTAAGACTTATATTTTTAAAAGTAAAATCTCATCCCTTCAAATTTTGAGCATGAAATAAGGCTCAAACTTGAGAATTTACTAAGCATGGCCAGACACAGCTAAAATTAATTGATGCTAAACAAATAAAATAAAATTTTTAGATGTGTATCAATTTTTGTCATCCCATGTTTACAGTTGGGTCACTTTTTATAGTCAAAACTATCATCCTTATTTTATCTTAAGTGATTCAAATATTCCAATCTGGGGTCTGTACTGAATTCTAAAATCCTCTAAAGTCAATGACTGATGCAATGCACAAAATGAATACTAATTGTTTTACATGTTCAATGCATAATAATGTTCAGATTAAACACTAAATATATTCACAGTTTACTTACAAATGTAGACAATTGCATTTTACATGAAGAAATAGAATCCCATTTGAGTTTATATATGTAAACAAATATATGTAAGTAAAACTATGTACATATCTATGTAGATAGACAGATGCAAGGTCCCTTTGATAAGTATCCAGACACTTTTAATGTTTCAAGAACCGATTGTGCAGTTTTGATATAACTGACAGTCAATCAGAGAGGACATTACTACACATGTATAAATAAACACTCTCCTCAATTAGCAGTGAGCTTGGGTACTGTGTGACTGTCATATACACACTAACCAAGTGAAAAGATCAGTTAAGTCTAGTTTAAGATATTTATGGGCAAAATATCACAGCATTTGTTGCCATTTAACATTTTCATTACTGCATTTTTATTGTGTCATTGCCTCGCTGTATTAGCCTGTTTTAGGAAAAATATGCTGATTGATTTGTTTGTTTAATGGCATATCAACATCTAATGGGACATTTAATGCTGAAATTTAATTTTATTAGGAGCTTTGAAGTAAGAAAAAGATGATACATGTTATTCTGCGTTCACAGTTGAATACATGGTAGATGATACTCAGCTTTTGTGCATATACATGTTTGTGTGGGCATAATTACTACAGGCAGTGATATTTTGTGTTTAATGTTGTAGTTTTGTTGAAGTTATATTTTGAAATACAGTTTGATTTCTTGAAGAAATTGTTGGATATTATATGAATTAATGTCATGAAAGAGTTCTTTCATGTTGGTTGTTCAGTTGGTTAATTTTGTTTGGTGACAGATCAACCTCTATGGATTATTTGATGCAGAAATTTAAATATTTTGCATGCAATTTTGTTTCCCATCGTAGATATTTTGTATATAATTTTATACTTTCAGAATAAAGGTATGTTTTTTTTTAAGATATAAATTTTGTAGCTCATAGAATGTATTGTTAGTAAATTTAGTATAAAAATCTACTTTTATATTTTCTATTGTTACATTGATTGTCATTTTGCTATAAAAATGTATTGGTGGTCATTTTATTATAAAAATGTATTGCTGATATTTGTTTGGGGGTTCACTATTTGTTTATAGCTGGGACCCTAACTGGTGCTACCACCCCAGTTCAGGGTGAACCAGGAAACAGTAGCAATTAAGAGGTGGTTCCATGCTCCTCAAAACTTTCAATCTCCCAATCAGAGGCCTTGCTACCAGATGTAGTTCAGGAAAAATAGAAAAGTAACATTTACTGGAAATAAAAATGATTATTAAGATGCTGATATCAATTTCTAATGGGTACCATCATTTTGTTTTTGATTTGATACTCTGCAGTACATGACCCCTCAACACAATATAAATGACTCTACAATACGACACGCCCCAATACACAATATAAATGATCCTACAATACGACACCCCCCAATACACAATATAAATGACTCTACAATAGGACACCCCCAATATGCAATAAAAATGACTCTTCTAAACAAAACCCCCAATACACAATATAAATGACTCTACAATATGACACCTCCCCAATAACAATATAAATGACTACAATATGAGACCCTGTCATGGGTCCTTACCTATAACTACAGAAGGAACTCTTCCTAACACTATGTATACTACGCCTCTCAAGAGAGAGGGTCGAATCGAGTCGAGCTGATAGTAGTTCACTCCAAACCAGACTGACAGTCATACTAACACCTTCCACATCTTGTATTATTTCATGTAATATACCTTCGTTATTTCTACTCTCGTGTTCGTGTTGTTCTTCCTTGGTCCTAACCTGGACCATAACACCCCCAATACACAATATAAATGACTCTGCTAAATGACACCCCAACTGCATACAGGTAGAAATGAATTCAGTAAAAAATAGAATGGGATGCAAAACAAGGATATTTTGGCAAATATTAATCCTTGTGCTCATCAAAAGGGCAGTTTTTTCCCTTGATAATAAACTATTATTTCATACTACATTCCTTCAGTAATGTTTATTTACAAGATTATAAAATATGTGAGCAAAGTACAATGCAATATTTATCATTTTATAAATAACTATCTACAATTAATTTGTGCCCTGGCACTGATCTCATTTCACCATTCCTGGTAGAAATTCCATTATCACAGAGTGGGATATCTACTAACAAAAGGGATAAAAAGAAAAAATAAATAAATGAAATTGGTTAGATAAAGAAAAAAAAAATTTCCAGCATCCCTTGTTTATGCACATGTGTAGTCACACCAACATAACAAATTTAGTCTGATGAAGTCCACCGGATGAAATGCATCACAAAAAAAAAACCTTTTTCCACTTTGTCATACATTTTTCCTTATAAATAATACCAATGAATTATAAAACAAAATTTGAATAAAAATATGATTTTTTAGACATAATATATTTTCTTCTCAGTTTATTTTATATCTCAGATTACTTATTTGTTTT